GCATCCCACTGGGGGAAATCAAACATGGCGATTTGATGCTCACTTTTTCTGAGGATCTTTCCCAGGATGCATTGCGCGATGACTGGAAGTCCGAAATTTGGGATGCATGTATATCTGCAACATAACTTGATATAGTGTGATGGTCCACGATATTATTGTGAGAACTCTGAAGATACGATATCATGATATTTGGGTTATTGTTACATTTCTATTTCCCACATAGAAGAAGTCTATCATGGGTTGTGTCAGAATAATTTTATTATCCCATATTTGCTAAATACTTGTGTGATATTCTAGGCCACGGGTGTCAAAACATAAGGCCCGGGGGCCAGATCCGGCCCTCCAAGACCTTTAATCTGGCCCTCGGCAGATTTTCTACTAAAAATATTTTAATTATATTTTTTATTAAAATCTTGTTAATTTTCTGTGGTGTTTATCACAGCAGCGTCTCCAGCGTCTCTGTACGTGGCCCCTCCCACCAGAGCAGCACAAATGAAGACTTGTCTCTTTCCAAACGCTCTTAAAGGACGATCGTTTTGACTGTTGACCGTGACACCCTCATCAGAAAAATGTCCAACATGAGAAAAGTGGAGCCGAGTGCAGGATTTTACAAGAAAAATTTACTTATTCCTGTTTGCATACAAGTTCATGTTAAAACATTGTGTTGAAATTGCATTTTTCTTAAAGTTTCAGGTTGTTCATAATATTATCATATTTTGTAAAAGAAAGAGTTCATCAATTAAAAAAGATTTCTGTAATAGATTTGTGTTTCTCTCTTTCTGTTTGTCTTTCTATTGTTATTTTTGGGGGTTTATATGCCATGAGTTTTCTGATCCGGCCCCTTTGGGATCAAACTAGGTTGGATACGGCCCCCGGACCAAAATGAGTTTGACACCCCTGCTCTAGGCCTATGAGTTAACCATTTATGTACTACAATTCTTTGATTTATAATGTACCAATCACTTGTCACTTGTTGAATAACCTCTGTGCGTTTGACAACTGTGTGCAGTGTCCTGTCGCTCTAGTGAACCTCGAGATGATTCCTCACATGAAGCCAACTCCCACTGTCACACATGCAAGAGTTATGATGGTGTCTGACCAAACCTAAGGCACCTCCTGTTTTACTCATGTTTTATGTACTATGCATAGCTGCACCAGTTTCTTATTATGTCTTGGCTGTTTCCCCTTCCCCTTGAGAATTATCGTTCTGTAACTAGGGCCTCCTAATGAAATAAAAAGAGGAGAGCGGCCTTGAGTCATCAGAACGTGTGGAGACTGTTGGTTTTGATGCCCGCTCTCTGCCCGTTCTCCTCGCGAGTAAAACTGAATTAATCTCTTGTCTTTCTTCTTGTTTACAATGTTTAGATAAACCTAACAGGTTGTATTGGAAAATGGTTATCCGTGCAGAGAGACCATAGCCTGTTCCTGTGAGAGTGGCCTAATGCCTATGCCCACACAGCCCGTGCTAACCTCCGTGTGAAAGTGCAGTTATTTATTCAGTGTGCACTCAAACCCATATCTAGCCTTTTGGAAAAAAAAAAAAAAAAAAAAAAAAAAGGGTGTGAGAGACAGCCCTTTAAATTAGGGCTTGTTGTCAGCAAACACGGCAGACTCGCTCTCAAGTGTTTCTAAGAGCTTTGAGACAACTGGCCTGAAAACACTGCATCAGATATTTTATACAGCTCAACAGTTTTATCCACACTTCAGAGCCACAGCGCAGACTGCAGCCCTTCCCTTTTCTCTGCCACTGTACGCCTGCACCGAGCGAGAGGACAACATTGTTTTTTTTTTCCTTATGTAATACGAATCTCTGACAAAGAACAAGACAACAAGGCCAACAGTTTAGGCAGAACTGTCTCGAAAACACAAGACGAGACAGAACACTGCTGCTACTCTGCCATCAGCGCAGACAGGTTCACCGCAAACAGCTGACCTGGGTGATTCCCGAAAATGACAATTTTAAAACAGGACATTTACGTTCAGGTTGTGTCCGTCACAGAGACATGAGTGTGCGGCGGCAGGTTCGGAGAGGCAAACTGGAGAGGTAAAGCGGCGGAGCGGTCACGTGAGTTTGGCCCGCTGCTCAGAGCGCCGTGTCAAACTCCTCAAGATTAGAACACAAGATCTGACCTTCACCTAAGGGCCGCCTGCGCTCAGATTACAGAGCATGTACATTCTGCGGCAACTTCACAATAGCAACCGGAGACAAAAATAACTCAGGAATAAAGCAGTCCTCTTTTTTTTAAATTACAGTCTCTCATTGACAACGTTCTTTGGACTTACTGAAAGACCTTGTCAAGTACATACATGTGTCAATCACGGCCTCCACAGCCTCCGCCCATATGTCGCCAACCCTGATATTACTCACTCTCAGCCTGACAAGCGCTCGCCGCAATCATTGTCCGGGCCTCATCATCCGTTTTTAAGTCTCACAAACAAAACAATCACGGCTCCGTCTCCGCGCGACCAGGCCCCCGTCCGACCGCTCAGACCCACAGACTATAGACCCACACGCCCACAGACCCACAACCCACAACCTGCTCCTCCTGTCTGCACCCGTCTCTGCTCCTGTCTGCACCCGTCTCTGCTCCTGTCTGCACCTATACCTCCCCTCCTCGTGTCTCTGCTCCTGTCTGCTCCTGTCCCTCCTCTGCTCCTGTCTCTCTCCTGTCCCTCCTCTGCTCCTGTCTCTACACCTGTCCCTCCTCTGCTCCTGTCTCTACACCTGTCCCTCCTCTGCTCCTGTCTCTACACCTGTCCCTCCTCTGCTCCTGTCTCTACACCTGTCCCTCCTCTGTTTTAGTCTCTGCACCTGTCCCCTCACCTGTCCCTCCTCTTCTTTTGTCTCTCCTCCTGTCTGCTCCTGTCCCTCCTCTGCTCCTGTTTACTCCTGTCCTTCCCCTGCTCATGTCTGCACCTGTCCCTGCCCGGCTCCTGTCTCTGCACCTGTCCCTCCCCTGCTCCCGTCCCTCCTCAGGTCCTATCTCTGCGCCTGTCTGCACCCGTCTCTGCTCCTGTCACTCCTCTGCTCTTTTCTTTGGTCCTGTCCCTCTTCTGCCCCTGTCTGTACCTGTCCTTACCCTGCTCCTGTCCCTGCTCCTGCCCCTCCTCTGCTCCTGTCTGCTCCTGTCCCTCCTCTGCTCCTGTCTGCTCCTGTCCCTCCTCTGCTCCTGTCTGCTCCTGTCCCTCCTCTGCTCCTGTCTGCTCCTGTCCCTCCTCTGCTCCTGTCTGCTCCTGTCCCTCCTCTGCTTCTGTCTGCTCCTGTCCCTCCTCTGCTCCTGTCTCTCCCTGTCTCCTCTGCTCCTGTCTGCTCCTGTCCCTCCTCTGCTCCTGTCTGCTCCTGTCCCTCCCCTGCTCCTGTCTGTACCTGTCCATACCCTGCTCCTGTCCCTCCTCTGCTCCTCTGCTCCTGTCCCTCCTCTGCTCCTGTCTGCCTCCTGTCCCTCCTCTCTCCCTGTCTGCTCCTGTCCCTCCCCTGCTCCTGTCTGTACTGTCCATACCTGCTGTCCTCCTCTGTCCTGTCTCTCCTGTCCCTCCTCTGCTCCTGTCTGCTCCTGTCCCTCCTCTGCTCCTGTCTCTCCTGTCCTCCCCTGCTCCTGTCTGTACCTGTCCATACCCTGCTCCTGTCCCTCCTCTGCTCCTGTCTCTACACCTGTCCCTCCTCTGCTTTTGTCTCTACACCTGTCCCTCCTCTGCTTTTGTCTCTACACCTGTCCCTCCTCTGCTCCTGTCTCTACACCTGTCCCTCCTCTGCTTTTGTCTCTACACCTGTCCCTCCTCTGCTCCTGTCTCTACACCTGTCCCTCCTCTGCTTTTGTCTCTGCACCTGCCCCCCCACCCCCACTCCTGTCAGCACCTGTCCCTCCTCTTCTTTTGTCTCTGCTCCTGTCCCTCCCCTGCTCTTTTCTTTTGTCCTGTCCCTCCCCTGCCCCTGTTCCTATTTGCACCTGTCCCTCCTCTCCTCCTATCTCTGCTTCTGTCCCTCTCCTGCTCCTGTCTGTTCTTGTCCCTCCCCTGTTCTTGTCTCGGCATCTGTCCCTCTTCTGCTTCTGTCTGCACCTGTCTCTCCTCTGTTCCTGTCAGCACCTGTCCCTCCCCTGTTTGCACCAGTCTCTCCCCTGCTCCTGTCAGCACCTGTCCCTCCCCTGTTTGCACCTGTCTCTCCTCTGTTCCTGTCAGCACCTGTCCTTCCCCTGCTTTTGTCTTTGGTCCTGACCCTCTTCTGCACCTGTCTACATATGTCCCTCTTCTGCTACTGTTTCCGCACCTGTCCCTCCCCTGCTCCTGTCTGCACCTGTCCCTCCTCTGCTCCTGTCTGCACCTGTCCTTCCCCTGCTCCTGTCAGCACCTGTCCCTCCTCTGCTCCTGTCTGCACCTGTCCCTCCCTGTCGGCCTGAGCTGTGGACCTGTGGAGACAGAGCGTCCTCATCACCGCAGCTTCGTCCCTCTGGAACTATTTACCTCAGCAAATCCGTGACTGCACTGAAAAATGAAGGAACATTTCTTCTAAAACATCTGAAACTGTAACTTCTGATTTGTCCACTTGTAAATAAAAATATTTTAAACACTTACAAATTTCGTTTTACAGGTACAACATAGTCATTTTACAAGTACAAATCAGAAAATTGAGCTTTGTTTTGAGGCAAACTCGGTGCAACAAATGTCTCAAAACTCGTGAAAGCGTAATTTTATGATTTGTACTTGTAAAATAATTTAATTGTATTTACAAAATGTACACATTCAAACATTTTGGAACAAACAAACCTTCATGCAGAACTCTCCAACTTCAAGAAACTGCTCAAAAATCATCTCTTCAGAACAGCTTTTATTGTCAAACCTGCTTTTAAATCATGCCTATATCTTGCCACTGACCTTGTGTTTTTTATATGTACTCTTTATAATTGTATTCTTTGAGTGTTTATAAAAGCGTTATATAAATAAAACGTATTGTTATTATGATTAGAGCTGCCAGAGTCCCAGGAGTGTCCGTCGTGACTCACCTCCAGACGCAGGTATTCGTTCTGTTCCTGGGAGAGCAGGCTGAGGATGACGCCGGAGGGGGAGCGCGTCCGGACCCCCACCTGCACGTGGGTCTGCCGGGCCGGGACCGACCACAGAAACTGGTACTGGATGTGACTGCGTCCGTCAAAAGAAAACTCTGGAGCTGCTTGTCCATCAAACAGAGACACACACAGAAAAAAACTCTTGTTCAATTAATTCAGCTGTCAAACGGGAAATACATGGGCATATCTCAATGGGAGCTGCATGTTCTGTTAATACTCTTTATATAATGTGTCTTTTTTATATACCACCAACGCCTGAGGGGGCTAAACCGACTGCCCTCGTCTCCACAGGTTTCAAAACACGTCATTTATTTGAAAGGTGCACTGCGTAACATTTCTAGTGGAGGGTCCGCCACCTGCTTGTCTGGAAATGTTATTGCTTTGTCTAGAACAGACATGTCAAACTCTATTTGGCCCACAAGATCAGATCAAATACATATCAGAGCTGACCCACCGACTAATTTTGGGTAACACTTTAGGTTAGGGACCTCATATCAACAGCTAGTTAATAGTAAAATGCATAATAAGTGCTTAATAGTTCTGGTTTCCCTCTCTGGTCTACCTCCAAGCTCCTTACCTCATTTTCATTCATTTCATTTCATTTCATTTATTTGTTTGAGCCAGGTACAACAAAATTCAAAAACAATAACAAAAATAGTGATATGTACATGAACATATTTGGGACCTGGTGCTCAAAAGGAGTAGGATGAAGTTTAAAAAACTTATGAAGTCCTGCCCCAGTTGTTTTACATAATCACGTGGTTCACTTTTTTTTAATATCACCTTTGGAGTGCTTATCTGTCGTTTGCAAAAATATACCCACATATGTACAAAAACATATCCACACATACATACATACATATGCATGTACACACACTTATACACACATATGTACATACATACATATACGCATCATAGATATCCAGTACATATACTCTATATAAATGTTTATACACACTTATGCATAACACACATATACATACGTGCGGAAACATATTTTCATTTATGGTCGCACAAACTAATAATAATGTTCATTTAGGCACAAAGTTTATCGTTTATGATTGTACCTCCGTGATACTTTTAATGCATCACACCCAACTTTTTAATGCATCATAAGTTGACCATGGATGAGTGTGTGTTTGTGTGTGTGTGTGTCTCAGTGTCTGTGCTTGTGTGCATGTGGATGTGTGTGAATGTTCCTGTGCAGGCAGGTGCGTGCATGCATGTGTGCGTTTTAATGTGTATATATATATATATATATATATATATATATATATATATATATATATATATATATATATATATATGCATGTACATATATATCAGGGAGGGGGAGCGTTCAGATCAGGAGGTGGTTCGTCGAGGAGCTGGGTCGCCTGGTTGGTGGGCAGTTGCTCCTGCATCGAGCCATGGGGGGCGTGGCTCAGTCTGCACTGACTTGAGTGGATCTGAGGCAAAGCTCCAACACATACTTAACTTATTTTCAATACCCACATAAACTAGTAATAATAGAGGTCAGCGAGGACCCCCCCCCCGTGCACACACACACACGCACATACACACACATACCTGTGCACATATGTGTCTCCAACCTTTGTCCCTATTTGTATAAAACCTTTGATGTAATGTTTGTCTTGTATCTTGTTTGTTGTTTGGTTCCTTTTGTTTTTATGTACGTAGTCTGCAAATAAAACTATTTAAAAATAATAATAAAGAAAAATCAGTGCTTGCTTACATCTTTGTTAGTATTTCTAACATACTTTTGATGCATTTCTCTCTAAGGCCGTATTTCGCGAGTACTAACCCATTAACTATTTTCTCCCCATTAAAGTCGTGGAGGTTACATCGATATGTTTGTGCATAAACTGAAATCTTAATAAGCGTTAACAAGTGTTTGATTAATACCAACTAACAGCTAAGTAACAGCTAATTAGAAAACCGATTACTTAGTTAGCTCTTAATATGTGGTCCCTAAACTAAATGTTGTTATTATTTTATATTCTGCTTGTTCTGGATTCAATGTTTGAGCAAAACTATTATTAAACTTTTATTTTAATAAGAAAAGGTTTAACATTACATATCTCGAAAGAAGAGAAAACATGCAGAGGTTGTTGACATTTTTAGTTTGGCCCACGACCTAGTCCCAGTTTTTAATTTTGTCCCTCTGTGAATCTGAGTTTGACTCCTCTGGTCTAGAATGTTCCACAGTATAGATTAAACCTTTCATCACCAGGGAGACGAGCAGGTCACAGCACTACGCTACATTACAATTCAGGTCTGTGGAGAGGCGCAGCTATTCACAGAAGGTATTTCTGAGCAACATAAACACGTACTGAATAAATGTGAGATGGTTTTGTTTAATGTTTTACCACGGAACATTCCAGAGAAAGCAATAACATCTCTGTAGCAGGTAGAAAAGTCGTCCAGTGCACTTTTAAGAATAATATTTCTGAGCGTACCTTTGTCACACTTTGGCCCCGAGAGTCCAGCCTCACACAGGCAGCTGAAGGAGCTCTTCTCACCGTTACAGCGCCCCCTGCCGCCACACGAAGGAAGCGGCTCCTTGTCGTCACACGGGTCATCGTCCAGAGAGCACGTTGGAAAAGTGCTGGTCGCTTCAGCCGGAGAACCAAGGTCATAGAGCTGAAGTGAAGGGGGAATAGAAATACAAATATATAAAAGTCTTCACTTTCACTGAAGTGGAGAATAGGATTCTCTGTCCTTGCAATCACAGCGGTGGGAGAGTAAAGAGAAAAGTGATTGCCGTTTGAGACACACAATTCGATCTTGTGATTTGACACCATAAACTCTTATCTGATGGTGGTTTCTGATTATTTAATGACACACTGGACACTGGGCCCTTTTATCTTTGTGAACATTTTGGCTGTAAAGGATAAAGAAACCTAAGAATTATTTTAAATCAAATCATAATAATCACAGCTTCAGTGCAATCAATGCAACTCAGTGACACTGCATTATTCATCCTGCGCACACCTGACGCCAGCTTCTGTCGAACACACAGCTGCTCTGGGTTAGACTGACAGATACAAGTGGGCAGGTACAGATTGGCATCTGTGCCATCAGCTCACGCACACACACACACACACACACACACACACACTACACACACACACACACGCACACACAGACGCCGCTTGCCTTTTTTAACAAACTGTCTTTGCCTCTTTTTCTCTTGTAAAAATAAAAGAGAAACAGGAGCACTGGAGCAGGTTCTGGAGGGGATGGTTCTGTGCTATTTAAAAAAAAAAAAAAAGTGTTTTTAGACAAATATCTTTTTCCCTCGGAGCAGGTTAGACATGGAGTACAGAACCTCCCCATCCAATCCAATCCACTTTATTTCTATAGCACATTTCACAAACAAAGTGCTGCACAAATACATAATAATAACAACAATAATAAAAAAATAAAATGATAAAATAAACGCTCAGATTGAATCATGCTCCGTCTGAATCTCTTTTACTCAAACTAGACTTCAATCAGAGTTTTATTTTAACACAATCCTCCCGGAACGAGCTGACTGAGTTGGATCTACAAGAGTCTCTCACACTTCAAATTACGGTCACAAGTTAGAGCTGCCATTAGTCACTGGTTTTTCTGTTAGTCGCTCTCGCCTTTTTTATCGAAAATGAAACACCTAAACAGAACTATTAACACTCGTAATCATCATTTGCTCTGAGAAATGTGCTCTTTAAACCAAATCTGTACTAATGTTGAGTTTGGGCAGTGTTTGTTAAATGAGTGCATTGTGTCACCATGGTAACTATTAACAGTGTTGGGAGTAACAGATTACATGTACTGGAGTAATCAGAGTACAAATTATGAGTAACTGTATTCGGTTCCAGTTACTGTTTCAGTGAGTGGGAATTGGATTACAGTTACTTTGTTGAAATAAATGGATTACAGAGCAATGTTTTCCTGTTTTCATATTTTGGGTTAAACAAGGACTAAAACCAGGACTAAACCAGGACTAAATCAGGACTAAACCAGGACTAAAATCAGGACTAAAACCAGGTCTAAAACCAGGATTAAACCAGGGACTAAACCAGGACTAAAACCAGGTCTAAAACCAGGTCTAAAACCAGGACTAAACCAGGACTAAAACCAGGACTAAAACCAAGACTAACCCAAGACAAAAAAATCAGGACTAAACCAGGACTAAAACAGGACTAAAAAGGATTAAACCAGGACTAAAACCAGGACTAAAACCAGAACTAAACCAGACTAAAACCAGGACTAAAACCAGGACTAACCCAAGACAAAAAAATCAGGACTAAACCAGGACTAAAATCAGGACTAAATCAGGATTAAACAGGATTAAAACCAGGACTAAAACCAGAACTAAACCAGGACTAAACCAGGACTAAAACAGAACTAAAACCAGACTAAACCAGGACTAAACTAGGACTAAAACCAGGAAAACTAAAACCAGGACTAAAACCAGGACTAAAACCAGGACTAACCCAAGACAAAAAAAATCAGGACTAAACCAGGACTAAAATCAGGACTAAATCAGGATTAAACCAGGACTAAAACCAGGACTAAAACCATAACTAAACCAGGACTAAAACCATAACTAAACCAGGACTAAAACCAGAACTAAACCAGGACTACAACCAGGACTATCCCAAGACAAAAAAATCAGGACTAAACCAGGACTAAAATCAGGACTAAATCAGGATTAAACCAGGACTAAAACCAGGACTAAAACCAGAACTAAACCAGGACTACAACCAGGACTATCCCAAGACAAAAAAATCAGGACTAAACCAGGACTAAAATCAGGACTAAATCAGGATTAAACCAGGACTAAAACCAGGACTAAAACCAGAACTAAACCAGGACTAAAACCAGGACTAAAACCAGAACTAAACCAGGACTAAACCAGGACTAAAACCAGGACTACAACCAGGACTAACCCAAGACAAAAAAATCAGGACTTAACCAGGACTAAAATCAGGACTAAATCAGGATTAAACCAGGACTAAAATCAGAACTAAACCAGGACTAAACCAGGACTAAACCAAGACTAAACCATGATTAAAATCAGGACTAAAACCAGGACTAAAACCAGAACTAAACCAGGACTAAACCAGACCTAAACCAGGACTAAAACCAGGACAATATCAAGTAATCCAAAGTATTCAGATTACGTTATTCACTTTAAGTAATTTAATGGATTACATTACAAACTACATTTTGGGATATGTAATCTGTAACCTGTAGGGGAATACATTTTTAAAGTCACCTTCCCGACATCGACTATTAAACATTTCACCTCAGATACACATGTAGAACACCCCCAGCATGACGTCAATGCAAGTTATGAATCAATAAATCGCTAAATACGTAATATAAAAGTTGAAAATAACCGCGCTCATAGACAAACAGGAGAGGTTTTTTAGCATTCAGAGTCTCTCCGGTGAATCTTTGTGTTTTACATTTGAGCTAAGCCCCTGTCAACTGTATCAGCATTTACCCAACAGATAAAGATTTTATAGGCAACAATGAAGAGATCCATATATCTAAGTAATTCATCTCCAGCGGGGATTTAGAGGCGAGCCCCGCTTTAAGACACGGACACGTTCACGCTACAGGTCCAATCCCATTTTCTTCCCAAATGTGACCGGAATGTGATTTCATGTGAACGTGAACTCACCAAATCCGTTTTTGGTAACACTTTATAATAACTACACCTTACTTAGCCTTAATAAAGCATGAACAAAGACTTAATTAATAATGATTCACGCTTAGTAAATGCTTAATAAAGGATAATTCGTCTTCAAACTCTCAAAAAGACTTAACTAACAGATAACAGCTGCCAGAATTATCACTGCATTGTATTATTAGTAAATCATTCTCTCATAGTTTACTAATGATTAATAAATGCTCAAATGGTTAGTTCATGAGTAATTAAGTATGAAATAATTATGAGTAACTATTTACAGCACAGGCAAATTCAGTGCAAGTGCTAATTCAGGTAGTAATTAAGTAGTTACTAAGCGTGAATCATTATTAATTAAGTCTTTGTTCATTATTAGTTAAGCCTTTGTTCATGTTTTATTAAGGCTAAATAAGGTGTAGTTATTATAAAGTGTTACCCTGTTTTGTTTTGTTTGTTTTTTTTTTTTTTTTTCATATCTAACCCAGACCACTTTCATATTTGGAAATAAATCTGGTTTGAATCTGATCTTTGGCAGTGTTGATCTGATTTCTACTGCCCTGAAATGCCAAATGTTTTTTTTTTTAACATGTAAGTATTTTAGCCAACCTATGTGCAATCAAAACTGCACATAGCCTTGGGAATGTGGGCCTGCCTGTTAAGAATAATTTAAAGGTCGATACTTGGTCTCGTATCTATTTTTGTTCTGTGGTGTTTGTTTATGTGGTGTTTTGTGCTGTGTTGTCTTGTTTTTTTTATAAAGCATGTTACCCCCTGTCCCAAGACAAATTTCTACCATGGGTGACAACAATGGATTATCTTATCTTGTCTTATCTTAGACTGTATATAAGAAGTGGACTACGCGAGTGTGACGTCACCCGCAGCCTTCAGAGCCGCTCAAATGAGGCTCGTGATGCTGCCGCGTGCAACATCCACTAAACTCAGAGTTTCAGCTGCTTCCCTCTCGTCAGACGCTTTTAGTCCCAAGATCTAGAATGAATCGTTTTAAAAGGAGCTTCGTTCCAGCTGCTATCGCACTTATGAATAAACTGTAATATATTTATCTAAAAATGGTGTGTTTTTTAATATATTTAATATTTATTGTCATTTAGCCGAGCGTGACGGATGAATTTAACTAATTGTTTATGGAACAAACCATTTTGCACTGGAGCTCTGTGACACTTTATTTTGTAATTGTGTTTTTTATACGTGCTTATTGTACATAATGTGAAATGTGGGACCTGCCTCTCAAATCTGCAAAACAAATGAATTTACCTGTGGGTACCAATAAAGCAACCAAACCTAACCTAACCTATGCTCACGGTTCCATGTTATAAATAGGATTTTTTTTGATGAACAAAATAGTGGAATAAAACAGAAATTCAGGATCATGTAGAGATATGTGTAATTCTGAAATCCCTTGGCGAGCTACTTGGAAGAAGGTGGAGAGATACTGGTGGCTTCTGAGCTACAGGTTGGAGACTCCTGTGCCATACAGCTCTGGAAAAAAAAAGAGACCTTGCTTGATTCTGCTCTGACAATGTTCCCCAACTCTGAGGACAGTTTTTTATTTTATTTTTCCCAGCAGGACAATGTTCAGCGCAGTCAATGCTCAGTCAAGGTGTGGATGAAGGACGACCAGATCAAGACCCTCTCATGTCCAGCCCGATCTCCAGACCTGAAACCCACTGAAAACCTCTGGAACATGATCAAGAGGAAGATGGACGGTCATCAGGGTTATTCCACCAAATATTGAGTTCTGAACTCTTCCTAAGTTAAAACATTAGTACTGTGGCCATACCGGTTTGTAAAAGCCTGATCCTGTCACATCTCAGAAGCTCAGCAGGACCGGGTCTGGTTAGGACTTGGATGGACGACCGCTGGGAAAATCAGGAGCCACAGGGGGGCGCCAGTGGGAACAACTCTAGTTGTGTCCTTAGGCAAGACACTTCACCCACATTGCCTCGTATGAAAGTGGTGTGTGTGTGTGAGTGATGGTGGTCGGAGGGACCGATGGCAGCCGCGCTTCTGTCAGTCTGCCCCAGGGCAGCTGTGGCTACAATAATAACTTACGATCACCAGGTATAGAGTGAATGAATAATGCTGAATAATGCTCTGTAAAGCATCTCTGTGACAAAAATGTCTGTGAAAAGTGCTATATAAATAAAGACTTACTTAGTATTCTGTTGTTTTATTGTGTGAATATGACCTTGTTTTCTTCACATTATTTGAGGTCTGAAAACATTACATCTTTTTTGTTATTTTGACCATTTGTCATTTTCTGCAAATAAATTCTCTAAATGGCAATATTTTTATTTGGAATTTGGGAGAAATGCTGTCACTAGTATAAAGAATGAAAGAAAAATGTTCATTTTACTCAAACACATACCTATAAGTAGTGAAATCAGAGAAACTGATCATTTTGCAGTGGTGTCTTATTTTATTTATTTTTTTTCAGAGCTGTAGTTATCTGAAGAACTGTTCATATGTTACATTAACACAGCAACACCTTTCAGTCTGTTGTTCTCCATTCTGTTGTTTTTACTAGAACTTGCCTTTCAAGATGACATCCTGGTCTCTGATTTTATAAAATACATTTCCCCCAAAAAGTGCGACTTATATGTGTTTCTACTTCATTCATTGGTTGGTGCAACTTATACTCCAGAGCGACTTATAGTTAAAAAAAATACGGTAAAAAGTAAAGTAGCCGTGGTAAAGGCCTGTAAACAATATCGAGGTACAAACCTGGCTGTCCACGAGCAGGTTTCTCACACACCCGCTGTAGTGCTTGTACTGCAGTTGCGGGTATTCGTACGTGATGTTCTCGTTGACCCCTCCGAGCTGCAGGACATGACTGCCGTTGAGAAACCTGGGTATAAAAAAAAAAAAAAAAAAAAAAAAAAAAAAGTGAAGACAATCTCAGCGTACAGTAAACAAGAAGAGAAGAGCCGGCGAAGAATGCGAGAAGAAAGAACGCAAGGACAACTTTTCAAGGCTTCCATTCAAAACACGGCGCACGGTTAGAATGAAAAGACGGAGAATACGGGGAGAGGAATGGCACATACATCATATAAACTGTCAAGGTTAAAATTCACACATTCAGTTTTTCTTTTTTTCTTTTTTTTTTAAGTCAAACTGTCAGAACAATGCTTTCCTCCGACACCAATACGGCACCCAATTCTTGTGCTGTTTGCTTCACAATAAAAATAGATGACTGATGGATAAATTGTATAGCAGGAAGACTTCAAAATTATTCTGTATTGCTTTCTGGCTTTAACAATGGAGGCAGGAAAGCAAATGTGGAGCTCACCTCGTAAACACGTACAGTGAGATGTTTTGTGACGGTGCTTGACTTGTGTTGGTCGATTAAAAACCATTGAAACTGAAGTCTTAGGTCAAGTATCAGTGTGATGTTTTAAATGGACCTGATTCATCCAGACTCATTATCTAAACAAGGACCATGTTACAGTATTTTCTAATCTAAGTTCAAATGTTGTTTCCTCATCTAAATCAGGACTAAACCAGGATTAAACATGGACTAAACCAGGATTAAACATGGACTAAACCAGGATTAAACATGGACTAAACCAGGATTAAACCTGGACTAAACCAAGACTACACCAGGACTACATCAGGACTAAACCAGGACTACATCAGGACTAAACCAGGACTAAACCAGGTCTAAACTAGGACTAAACCAGGACTAAACCAAGACTACACCAGGACTACATCCGGACTAAACCAGGACTAAACCAGGTCTAAACTAGGACTAAACCAGGACTACACCAGGACTACATCAGAACTAAACCAGGTTTAAACTAGGACTAAACCAAGACTACACCAGGACTACATCAGGACTAAACCAGGACTACACCAGGACTACACCAGGACTACATCAGAACTAAACCAGGTTTAAACTAGGACTAAACCAAGACTACACCAGGACTACATCAGGACTAAACCAGGACTAAACCAGGTCTAAACTAGGACTAAACCAGGACTAAACCAAGACTACACCAGGACTACATCCGGACTAAACCAGGACTAAACCAGGTCTAAACTAGGACTAAACCAGGACTACACCAGGACTACATCAGAACTAAACCAGGTTTAAACTAGGACTAAACCAGGACTACACCAGGACTACATCAGGACTAAACCAGGTCTAAACTAGAACTGAACCAGGTTTAACCAGGTCTAAACCAAGACTAAACCAGAACTAAACCAGGTCTAAATCAGGACTTAAACAGGTCTAAACCAGGACTAAACCTAAACCAGGACTAAACCAAAACTAAACCAGGATTAATCTTGGACTTAAGAGAGATGGGACCCCAGGCCTGTGGAGCAGGGTGTCCGCAAAGACAAACTGGATGACGGCTGCGTGGAGCTGTTCAGCGGTCAGGCTTGTCCAAAAACTCAGTCCTGGTTCAGTCCTGGTTCAGTCCTGGATCTGTCCTGGATTTTATATTGTATTACTTATCTTTCTATTTTATTTTGACTTGTACGTTTACATTTATATAATTAAACCTTATTTGACACCAGCTAGAATTTTTATTACCATTTATACTTTCGATCTTTGTTATTATTACATTGTGCTGTGTGAGCTACTGTGTCCAAATAATTTCCCTTGTGGATCAATAAAGCTTGTCAAAGTCTATATAAAGATGTATTATTATTATTATTATTATTATTATTATTATTAGTGCTGTCATGCGATTAAAAAAATTGAGAGATTAATTAATTATGATCTGTAATTAATTAATCTAATTAATCTCATTTTAATCTCACCTAAAAATTGCTGAGAAAAGCTTCAATTTGAGGTATTTTCATTTAAATTCATTATTACATTATTGTGGCAGATCAAAACACTGATATAGATTTAAAAAAGTGACTTTATAAAATCATTTATTGTTCAACAAATCTCTCCAATTTGGCTGTTGAGCCCAAGTCTCCATGAATAAGAAACTGTTTGCTGTAAAGTAGCAAAGACGAGGAAATCTGAACATAATAACTTTTGTCGACTTAAAGACAATAAAAAGTCCAGTCTTTCCTTAAACATATTAAAAATATTATTGATAGAGAAATGCTTTATATATGAGATCACTGGTTTTAGTCCTGGTTTTAGTCCTGGTTTAGACCTGGTTTAGTACGGTGGTGTATTGCTATCACTCCCCAAAAAATATTTCGGCTCAGTATCACGTAATTACGTGAAAAGTTTCACGTTATAACGTGATATTTTTCACGTTATAACGTGAAATTATCACGTTATTTCATGATATGAAATTATCACGTTATTTCGTGATATGAAATTATCACGTTATTTCGTGATGTGGTATTTTCACGTTATAACGTGAAATTATCACGTTATAACGTGATACGAAATTATCACGTTATAACGTGATACGAAATTATCACGTTATTATGTGATACGAAATTATCACGTTATTACATGATATTTTCACGTTATAACGTGAAAACGTCAAGTATGGTTTTACGTGATTTCATTATAAGATCAGCCACAGCCAAACCACGCTTCCCTCGGTCCAGTCAACTCCAGCCTGAGGCCCACGCTGAAAATGTGGATTCTCCACTCTTGAGATTACTTCGGGCTCGTGTTGTCTCCTTCGCATGAAGCAAGATCGTGTAAGTGTATTTTACTGTTTCGTCCCCAAGTTGTGTTGTCGTACGGTAGCAGAATGCTCTGTAAGCAACTGCTGAATATTAGAGCTGGAGCGAGTTGTTCGCTGTGGGTAGAGCTGCTAAAAGTACCTAGTCTGTTTTGCAATTCTGTTATAGCTCCTAAGAATTAGTTAAAGACAAAAGCATTCATTTGACACATTTCGGTGTTTCCAGTTATTTATGAATAATGACCATAAAACATTGTTGACTGTATGCACTCAGACATAGACAGTGTAAGAGAATGCTATTCAGAAAATGTGGTGTAGTTAGCTAAGCTAAGCCCCACTTCAACTCATCTGAGCCCGGCCTGGGCAGGGGAACAGCGCTCAGAGGTCCCGGTGCTCCTCCGGTTCAGGCCGGGCTCAGATGATCTGGAGCGGGGAGTGGTTAGGTGCCTCGGCCTGAGAAGCGCTTTTCTCGAGAAGAACCAAGTGCACGGAGGCTCAGAACAGTAACGAACCAGACCGGATTCGCGCTTCTGTCCGGATGCTTTACTCCACCTCAGAACCAGCCGCAACGCTACACCGGAGCAACCCGCACGGACCTAGAGTTCACTGCGCATTCTCGCTTTCCCCGCACGGAACCAGCGCGTAGAGGACGGGAACCGCTCAGCGATGTCTTTACTGCTGTTGGCTGCTGCTGTTACCCGAACTCAGAGCTTCTGGGCTGATGTGCAGCGAGTTGTGTACAAAGTTGTAGGCTACATGTGCTGTTTTATGAGTTTATGATGATAACTTGGAATGAGGACGGCCGTGGTGTTTTATGGTCTTTATTCATGAAGAACTTGAAACACCGACATGTGTCAAACGAATGCTTTTGTCATGAACTATGGAGCTATAACAGAATTGCAATTTTAGCAGCTCTTTGCCCACAGCGAACGACTCGCTACAGCACTCGTTCAGCAGTTGCTTACCGAACATCCTGCTATCTTGAGGACGAAACAGTAAAATACTCTTACAAGATCTTGCGTGATATTTTTCACGTTATAACGTGAAACTTTTCACGTAATTACGTGATACTGAGCCGAAATATTTTTTGGGGAGTGATAGCAATACACCACCGTAGGTTTAGACCTACTTTAGTCCTACTTTAGTCCTAGTTTAGTCCTGGAAAGGGTTAGTCCTGGTTTTAGTCCTGGTGTTAGTTCTGGTTTAGTCCTGGTTTAGACCTGGTTTAGTCCTGGTTTAGTCCTGGTTTAGACCTGGTTTAGACCTGGTTTTAGTTCTGGTTTTAGTTCTAGTTTAGACCTGGTTTAATCCTGGACTGGATTAGTCCTGGTTTTAGTCTTGGTGTTAGTTCTGGTTTAGAGGCGCACAGGAGGAAGCGCAGTTTACGCAGCGTAGCGAGAAAACACGATCCACACGCGGCTCACGGGAGCACGTCGGTGTCCGCGCAGTTAATGACGATGATGAAGGTGTGTGTTTGTATGTGTTTGTGTGTGTTTGTGTTTGTGTGTGTTTGTGTGTGTGTCCCCTCATGTGGCAGGTCACTATAGGACAGTAGTGCAGACATCATGAGTCTATGCAGGTTGTTTTCAGGCGATATTATATTTGTTATTTTCTTTTATATTTCACGTCGGGAGAATAATTTCCAAGACGTGAATGTGTTTTTACCTGTGCACTGCTGCCTCTGTTCTACTGGCTCTTCAACCTCGTCCATTGTGCGACTGACGCCGTCAACGTTAACATGACGTTTACATCGCTCTTACTGCGTGCGTTTTGTGTGGGTTTCCGACAATGAGTGGAATTACCGAAATAAAAAAATTTATAAATGTGTTTTTTGTGTGTTGTTGTCCCAACAACACATAAAAACTGGTTTAATAATAAAGCAACTCGAATACAGAAACAGTAAAGTTAGAGATTAAAAATGAGATTAACGCGATTAAAAAACATAACGCGCTAAATATGACTGTAATTAATTAATCGCAATTAACGCGATAATTTGACACCCCTAATTATTATTATTATTATTATTATTATTAAACCTTTCTATCATCATGGAGACCAAACCAGACCAAGTTACATATCAGATCTATGGTGTGGCAACCCCGCTCACAGTCAGAACGCCTGTTTTTCTCGGTATTTTTGAGCTATACAAGATACATTTGTTTAAAGTCATACTGTGGAACATTCGAAGCAGAGAAATGTCATATTTATATCCACAGACACAACCAGGTGACGCTCCCCTCAG